CTACAGTATGTAACAGAACAGTTCTGTCTTCTGGGATATAGCACCACGTGGCCAGTTGAAAGTCAACCGATATTTTGGAAGAAAAATGATACAAACTCCGTCCTAAGTGCAAACAATATATATTTATATGTCTTTGATCTTGCTCTTTCTACACTACATGTTTCGGCCTCTATCGGCCATCATCAGGTGTATACTCTTAACGTCGCTGCCACANTCTGTTTCCGTCCTCAGGTGAAGGAAAAGGGGTCCAGTGATTGAGGCTAGCTCTTTCTAACGGACCCAACAGAATAGGTGATACTTTTCCTTCACCTGAGGACGGAAACAGATCCAGTTTCCGAAACGTTGTGTTTTTGTTATCTTAAAAACTAGGACGATGGATAAAGTCCAGAAACCCAATATATCAGTGAGATTTTATTTCTTATTTATAATTTATTCAATGACACTGTCAGCATCTGAGACTATATAACACCAAACTGCAGGATGATTAATGTACAGTGAATTAGAAAGGATTTGCAAGAAAGCAGTCATGGACTCATTTCACATATAATCCTAACATTTACTTGGAATGCAGGAAGTCATAAAGAAGCCAAGTCGGGACAGTCATTCTCCTGGATGAGTTCAAACCAGACAACTCCCAAGTTCAAGTCACAACCAATATCAATCAAGCCAACTTACTTGGTACAAAGATCAAAATGCAAGGATAATATTACAATGGCTCTCAGAAAAAATTATTGTAATAATATGGACTGGAATAAGCTGGCTCAAGGTAATGGCAAGTAATATGCCTCTATGTTAACACTACTGAAACTTCAGATTCCATCAGAAAGTTTGGTGATCACGACAAAATTCCCTGAACATGAGATAATGAACTTACATTTAAAAGGCTCTGTTGATCAGAAAACCATTCATTCATGTACTTATAATCAAAGTACATCCACCTAGTGGAATTGTCATTAGAGGTATTTTCTTCTTTCTTCTCAACAATTCTTTCCAACTTAACAAACTCCTTCAAAGTTAAATTTATTCTTTCACATAGTCCTTCCCACTGTGGAACCTAGAAGGAAAACGTATAAAATGTCTCCCAAAATTCTACAGATTAATATCCACTGATACCTATATAACTATGTTAGATTTGACACTTTCACAGTGAACTAATGCAATAAAATCTTTGGGAAATCAGCCCTGTCAATGGTGAGTTAAAAGATCATTGTTTCAGAGACGTCCTGTCTCCTTCATTAGGGTCAATGATACTCTGATGATGGAGATGGGAGACCCATAGAATGTTCGTTTTTAACTCAACACTGAACATGGCTTTCCCTCGGTGAAGATACGTATTAATGCACCTACAGTATGTAACAGAACAGTTCTGTCTTCTGGGATATAGCACCATGTGGCCAGTTGAAAGTCAACCGATATCTTGGAAGAACATGTTGCCTGCATCTTCAGATTCAAAGAGCAAGCCAAGCAACATATCCACAAGAAGCAGGCGCCCAGCATAGTGATTTCCTTGCGAAACCTGGGATTATACAGAAAACGGGAGGGAACTGCAAAGCAACTTATCAGTTCCCAGTGTCTCCCACTGAGAAACAGGAAGAACCATTTTCAGACAAGAGACAGTAACTAGGACCATCCATTGAAAAGATCATTTGTGCAGATCTGGATCTACATGAGAGAGAAGATATTACGTATTTGATTTTTATTTGTATTACAACTGTCAACACAACACAATGAGTGGTATGGAAATATCTTTAATGGAGATAATAGCTGTTAATGTACATTTTGCTTATTACAAATATAGCTATGCTTCATGTCTCGACAACAATTTGGTCATCATCAGGCTTTAAATGAACATACGTCAAGTAATTAAACACACTGGGTACAATATGGATCTGTATTTGCTACCAGTTTGCTGTGTTGTAGCAAATATATCTTGGGAATACATTCACAATATTTAAAAATGTAAAAAAATGAGTACAATGTTAAATGATATATGATATAAATGACATAAGAACATAACCTTAAAATTGATATTTAAAATTTCAAGCTAGAAGTTGTGTTAGGTCGCGTGCATTCCTTAGCATAGATATGTTGGTATGCTGAAGGGGGTTGTTGCATTATTTCCTGCTATGTTGTCATATAATTTATAAATACAATTTTGTGGGGTGCCATCTGTTGGTTATTTGTGGCATTTCTCTTGGTTATCCAAGTTATCTGTTTTACAGCGGATCTTAGCGTAGCCCCTACTAATTTTATTTAGTTGCACGGACATTACGTGTGCGGTTGGGCAGAGAACTGAGGTTGGTGGAGAAGTCTCAAGCAGTGGGGAATAAGAAAATAAGAAGAGTGGAAGGACACCTGGAAGGAACTAAAGGCTTAGGATTGCTGGGTGCCCAGAGAGGGTAGAGCTGGTGCCCTAATAAGGAGATTGTGCACAGACCTGAATGGCCCCAAGAAGAACCCATCCAAAGAAATCTACAATAAAGAGGCTTCCTATGAACTTTCAGGAGCAGATGACAGGTTTCCGTGACTTTCTTAGACAAAAACTATGCTCTCTGTTCACATTATTGGGATGGAGCTCAATTTCAATTGCCTCCAAAGTGATATGATCCATGTATCTGCATCTGATGGACAAAATGCTGGTGTTATGGAGCTGAACGCAGTGTTCCAAGCTGATGCTATGGATGACTTATCTGGATGTTCTACTGGATATGTTGATGATGCTCCTTTAAGCTGAGGGCAATTGAACAGCCTGTCCAATGTACACCTGACCACACTCACAAGGGATACTATATATTCATACTCCAAAAGACAAAACTCTTCATAACATCTAGTGTGAAAGTCTCAAATCCTACAACTACAAAACTATTTTTTCCCCCACTGATCTGTAAAAGTGTGATACTTGGTCCCTTCCTCTAAAGGAAGAACACAGATTACAAGTATATGTAAATAAGGTATTACAAATTAGTAAATATTTATAACTTACAGAGCTTCAGACCACATCAACAATGCTGAATTTTCATGAAGATGTCAATCTATCTACACTGCATTAAAAAGAGGGGGTTATGAGGAAAGTAACATTAATCATGAAAAAGCCAGAAAAACAAAAACAAGATAGGGCCAGTCCAACAAAGGTGGAGGGGTAACAGTTTATTTTAATCTTTATCAATATATGTATGGCATGACATTATTTCATCTGAAAAGTGATGCACTTTACAGTTACCTATCCTACACTTTGTACAAAGCCTGCAGTCCCTATAACATCGGCAAATTAATATGACAGTAGAAATTTTACAAAGGATCATACCTAATGCAACTCAGCATTCTTGAATGTATTTACAGACGCTTTTTCAAATGTAAAGGTTACACAGTATCAAATGGTATGACAAATAGTTGACATAATGTGGGTGTTAACGGTAGCTTAAACCTTTACTTCAGTACATAAGGCTCTGTATTTAAAACCTCAGCACCTAACAACAAACATAAATTCAACACGTTTCTCGTTAAGGTAAAAAGGTTAAGTTGCCCCTATACTTAACTAAGCACTACGCCATGAAGGCATATAGGAAAGTGCATATATAGACCAACGTTTTATTGAACTCTGCACTAGTGGAGATGAGTGGTCAGCTTCACGCCCCGGCCTCTTTACCCCGAGGGAAAGAGCCCCCGGTATCCATTGGAAAGACGGGTTGGATCACGTTTTTGTTAACAAAACAATCCTTCAAAGAACACGAAGTTATCAATGACGAAAACTCTTTACAAAAGCTATAATACAATGCCATGCCACTCAGCCTAATATGACTGTAATAAGCCCTTTAATTAGTATGTGCAGTTACCCTAACTTACTTTCGTGCTCTTTCCAAAACCTGATCGAAATGGAAGAACCTTGTCTCCAAATTTTTCTGCCCACGTATCCAAACTCCATGATAGTATTTCCCAATCTTCTATAAACCCATTAAAAACGACAGGCATTTTAAATCCCTCCAATATCATATGTCGCATGAGAGCAGAAGGAGGTAATTCAACTGCAGCCATTACTTCGAACCGTAACACAAGTCCCAACTACTTTGACTTTCAGTTCCAGCCCCGTGCATTCAGTTCTGCCAGCATCCTCCAGTGCTGCCAAGTTAATGTTATAGCATGTTTGTAGCTGAAAATTTCCCCGATTGTTCACAGTTTATATTCAAAATGTATAAAAAAAACGTGGTTTAGTCCGCAAACGAACTATACCGACCGAGCGCCCACCGCTTGTCGGCGAAGTTAATGCCAATTTTTCAAAATGTATACTTATACTAAAATAAATGCAGAAATATCCTAATTCTGAAGCATGACCACAACAAATATTCCCGACGAGCCATGTGGTCTAAATGCCAGATATAATTCATAAAAGAAAGAAATATACGGGAGTAGTACAAACTCCTACTTTAAAACATGCGAAAACATTTTGCACTTAGCAGTATTAGAAAATGTAAGCATGCTCCATTGCAATTCATGCCATTAATTAAAATAATGCTTTAAAAGTTACCTCATATATACGGGAACTGCGTTCGCCTATTCTTCTGGGAAGCAAGCAGATCAATCACTTTTTGGTTGAATGCCGGAATCTCTGCAATCATGTCCTTATGAATGATAAGTACAGTCAGTGCCTTCAGACGTTCTTGACCCATTGAATTCCTTAGATATGTCTTAACTCTTTTTAGAGTGCTGAAACAACCCTCGGTTTCGGCGGTTGATATTGGAGTTGTAAGTACAATATCTGTCAGTTTGTGTATTTCTGACAGAACCTTAAACCATTTTTGACCCACAGTCCACATGTAGCATGAAGGACTTTTAGTAACTGAAATAAAAACGAACATCCGCTGTACGTTTACAAGATATAGACGTGAAACGTGTTGGAATAAAAAGAGCTACCCCAAGTGGCTATGAGTTAAATTTCAGGCCTATATCATTAATGCCCTGAGGTTCATTGCTGAGAAAGAGTTGATCCAGAGAAGAGTTACATTGGATTCAAGCAATTACAGGAAGCAGTATGAATTTCGCACCGTAATTTCAACACGTAATCTACGACCGAACGCGTTGACTGAGGTAGTAACACCTCTGACGTGTATTGGGGTAGGGATCGGTTCGAATGTCGGCCAGGATACTGGCTACTCTGACTCATCACTATTTTCCTCAGGCCCTTCCATTAAACGCCAGGATAGTGTCTGAAAATACACCACGACCGCTTCTTTCTACATTCTTTCCAATTCATTAATCATTCGACATTATATAATATGATCTACTGATAGCGTCATTAAATCAAGCTTAAATAAAGAAATATAATTATGCAGGGGGACAGTCTCTGTGGTCTAGTGGTCAGAGTTCCTGGCTACAGATTCAGATTTCCTGGGTTCGATTCCCGGTGCTACCAGATTTTCTGAGAAGTAGTGGGTCTGGAACGGGGTCCACTCAGCCTCGTGAGGATAATTGAGGAGCTATTTCAAGGAAATAGCGACTACGGTCTAGAAGACCGAAATTAACTGCCATGAGGATTCGTTTTGCTGACCACGCGACACCATCTATCAGCCAAAGTTGGCACCAACTTCGCCGACAAGCGGAGGTCGCTGAGTCGATATAGTTCGCTTGCGGGCTACAGGCCACGGAGTTTTTTTTTTTTTTAATTAAGCAGATTCATTGTGTCCGATCTCGCCGCAGAAACCACACTCAAGGCTGGAGGCACGCCGCTGTTTTGTGTGCCCAAACCGCTGATATAGGCAACACGGCACAAAGTTCGGAATGTAGGGCCGGACTGACACTCGCTCATATCCAGATTCTATTGGACTGGGACTTAAAATCTTAGATATACTGTTCTAAGAGGCGATAGTTTGCCGTTCCTCTTCCGAATTAATCGGTATACTTTTGGAACAAAGTGGTTCGCAAGTGAGGATTGCATTTCGGCTGATATGATACCAAGGGAGTCGGTTGTTAGTCCTCACCGGGACGAATGCAAAAACATGCACAAGATGCGAGCGGAGGAGATTAGCCCTCAGAAGAGACTCGGCCTGCTTCTCGCTAAACTCTTCAACTTAAACGTATAGTTTTGTATTCCCAGCCTTTCCTACAATAATATCAAAGGCATTTTGGATGTAATACGGGTTTATGTCTCGTATGCTCTCCTTGGGCCTTCATTTTAAATGTAATAACAATTTAAAACCGGAATTTTCCTTTTAGCGAGGTGTTCATNNNGGTAATTTTTTGGACTTTTAAGGGTATTTCTTGTCATTTTTGGCCATTTTAGGGAATTTTTCTTCATATGTTTTCTGAAATGTGAATAACATGGAAGCTAAGTGTTCTTTCTTTTCTCATTTAGGTCACTTTTCTGGATTTTTTCGGTCATTTTATAAGTAATTTTTTAAATATTTTCAGGTCATCAAAATTCGGGCCCTGCTAATGACATGTCCTACAAAATCGGCAAACGACGGGAACTACGGCCCATGGTTCCACACTCTACGCCGCGCAGACTTACACATATGTATATATACATACATACATACAAGCGCAAACGGGCAAAGAGAGACTGAAGTTAATTACATCACGGGTCCTAGTCCGTGTTAACATGTCAGAATGGCACAGCAAAACCAACGTAGGAGTGGCTACGTCATCTGGGCCCTGAGTAAGATACGTGTAAGCGGCCTCCGTAGTCTAGAGGTAACGTTCCCACCTCATGACTCGTAGTACGCGGGTTCAAATACCCGGCAGAGGTCGTCGAATTTTTAAGGGCGGAAAAATTCAGGGAACAAGTCCTCCGAGAGGGACTTTAAGCCGTGGGTCCCGTGTCGTAGCTTTACGGCACGTAAAAGAACCTCATATCTCCAAAGGAGGTCACTGAGCCAAATTAACGGACGTTTCCCGCCCAACAGCAGTCTCTAATACCTCTGGTAGATGGGGGAAGCATTATAGATACCTCTCAGCTAGTAGAGCCGGTCTCGCTGGCTGGGCGGGACTGATGGTAAGCACCAGTACCGGTAGGATATAGAGACTGGTAGAAATCATAGAGGGAAGCACAATGGACCAATACAGGTCTCAGTGCATGGGGAAACCCACCCTCTCCAATAACTAACTAACTAAGATACGTGTACTACGTGGGTGTACGTTGTTTACGGTGCGGGTAGAGCACTTCGACTTGCACGCAGGGACAGTGAGAAGAGTTCATCCAACCCTCATATCTCGAGTTCCCCTCAGGGATACCACAGATGAAAGTCGCGCCAAAACCGCGGGAAAGCAAAACGGCAGTGGGAAAATATCCCTGCTGTTGAGGCAGATTTTAAGCAGTAAGAAATGAATAACACTGGAAGAGGAAGAAATTATACCTGTTCCGGTGAACACAAACAGGCGTGGCAAATCAATGAAAAATGAGATGATGAATATGGAGGTGCTGGGGCATGAAGGGAGCCACTAAGGAAGAGTAAAGAAATGATTACAGAATGATATAGCTGACGCTTGAAAATGAGGGAAAGGAACACTTGAGAGCACCACTGGCATCTTCCAATTCATCTCGACGGGATCAAACGTGTGATACTTAACATCAAGTGGCGGCAATATGGGATGAGGCATGCCCAGTGTCTCCTATTTATTAATTGTGGTTTATTTAACCAAGTTGCAATATCTCAGACTATAGTCCATACAAATATTTAGCAATTTCATTAACCATAAAACCATTTCGCACTCGAATATGTTTTTACTGAATCCCTAATTAAATTCTTACATATGAAGGAAAGGAAAAACTAGACCAGAAACATGAAATCATGACAAGTAAACGTTAAAGAAGAATGCGAGATCAACATATTACGTATTTTATTGCATATATTTAAAAACAAAAATCATATTTCATGTGAAAGAAAATTGAATCCTACGAACTAATAACCCACAAAGTTACAGTTTTCAGTGTGAAAAATGACCTTTCTTCTTCTTTTCACAAATTCTTTTTATGTACCGCTTGATATTCGAGAAGTGAATTCTCAAATATGGTTCCGCACTTAGTCTGGTTCTCTGTTTTATTTTTGTTGCTATGTAATTCGAGAATCCAGTTTCGCGCAAGCATGTATTGACGAACTCTACGTCCTATAAAGATTTCACCTCACAGGCAAAAAACACACTTTCCTCCTTTGAAAGTGACATTTCGATTCTAAAGAGGCTCCAAAATGAAAATTAATTTCAGTGATATTCATACCAATAATATTTAGATTATCATCTTCAGCGTACACTCCTTATTTGAAAAAAAAAAAAAAAATTAAAGTAGGCATATGAGATCACCTTGCTGTCTGTGTGTGTATCCTCTACTAAAACTTTTGAATGCCTGGACCGATCTTTATGGAACTTGGTATGCACATCATGCCTCTTGATAACATAGAATTAAGAATGTTCCTGTGCTTAATCAATTAAGCACCACGCTATTAAGATGTATGGGGTAGTGGACGTAAAGCTCCACCATTCTTGACCTTGGCACTAGTTAGAGGTGAGTGGTCAGTTTCACGCCCAGGCCGCTTTACACCCCAGCAAAGTGTCCCTCATCCATTAACCAAGAAACTGGGTGAGCTCTAGAATTGCACTTGATCCCATATCAACGGCATATTTCATAAATCCCTCAACTGTGCAGTCTATCAAAATTAAAGTACAATACTAACCTTAATATTACCTGAATGCCTAAACCGTACAAAACACTCGCCTAGAGCGTCGAATGGTAGGGAGAAAAGCGAATAATGACTTTGAAATTGTGCAGGCAACAAAGAGAAGTCGTACAAAATCATACGAATGAACATGTTCGCCAGACATAGAAAATATAAGGTACTTAATCTTGGCGATGGTCAAGCTTAAAACCGTTCAAGTGACTAAACTGCTGTTGTAGCATAAGATACGTAAGTTAGGTATGATCTGCTCTGCAAAGCATGGACTGACAGAGGACTTGTATAAAGTGCAAAAGAAAGAATTTTCAGTAACATGCTATACAGGTATGTGCGATAGGCAAACTTGACAAAGGCGAAGCATATTCATAAGAGACATAAGGACTGTGACAGCAAGGGTTCGGTTGAAAAAAGCCTCTGATCGTGATCCTCAAGGGGCTCGGTGCCA